GGGGCAAAGAAGACTGTTGCACAATATTTGTTGAGAAGGTTGCCTGGCTACAATATCCAGTAATTACAAGAATGTCTAGATAGTGACCCTAATCTGCAGGAAGCATATAGCCTGTCAGTTGCACCCTGGTGCAATGCTGATTAAACATTGTGTTATGAGCCACTTGAGAAGATCTCGCCATGGCTCAAGATGGCCTGGTAACTTCCACAAACTACCATGATGTGTTCTATAAATGGCTGTCCCTGGAGGACAGTGGGAACTTCAGTTGATCCAGGTGCTGCTTAATTACTAGCTAGGCCTGTATGCACGGGCTGAATTGCACAGTGCTAAGACAGCTATTGTTCCATGGCTGCCACTTAGTTTGTAGTCTAAATTCAAGAAGCTGGTTTTGTCTTCTTTGTATGACATGGCTTCGGACCAGGGTACCTTGAAGAATACAACCACCTGCATGAACTTGATGAGGAATTCAGAGCATTCCCAACAGGGCTGTTCGCCAGATCCCTTTCCTGTCTGAAGAAAGACGTGTGTTCAGAAGGAGCAGGTCCTTTTCTGTGGTGGCACCCCATGTAGAAAGCTCATTGCCCTGCAACATGCCTTGCTAGCTAGCCAGGTCCTTTCTAGCCCCCAGAAACCACATGAATGTTTTGTTTCAGTGGCTCTGGGAGTTCATTTATTTATTGTTTATTTTTTGCTGCTTTGTATTCAAGTTGGACATGACCTTGAATAGTAGCAATAATTTCAGTGCTGGAAGTTATGGTTGTTAGACTCTTAGTATATCCAAAATGGGATGGAAAGTTGGGAGAGGACGGATTAAATAATAAACACATTTTCCAAAGGTGATCAACAGGCAGGATGAATGCCTCAGGTGGCATAAGCAGCTGGACGTGGTTAAAAGTCATAGAGCCAACTGGGTGAGTTTCAACCAGTTGCACACTCTCAGGCCAAACTACTTCACAGGGTTGTTGTTGTTGTGGAGATAAGCTTGAGAGGAGGAGAATAATGTGAGCTGCTTTGAGTTCTTAAAACAAAAAGGCAAGATATGCAGCTAATAAATAAATATGAGTTCCTGGCAGGCCTGAACAGGAGGAAAGCGGTCTGTGTCTCAGACATAAACCTTTAACAGCAATTCTGGCTAGTTTGCATTGGCTGCCTGCATATTTCTGAGCCCAGTTTGAGGCACTGGTTTTAACCAACCGAGCCTTAAGTGGCTGCAGTACCTGAAGAAATGATCAACATCAGAGGCCTTCCTTTCAGTCCCAGATCCAAGGGAAACTCACGAGGATGGCATCAAAGGGGAGGGCATTCTCGATGGCAGCCCCCTGATTATGGAATAATCTCCCCACTGAGGTCCACCTGGTGCCAGTGCACCAGGCACCAGGTGCATTTTGTTGGCATCAGGTTAAGACTGCCCTCGTACCCAGACATTTAAGAGTATTTAATCACATGGGATGGGGTATTTATGCCAGCTATCTTTTTAACATATCTACTGATTTTATTGAAATTGCTTCTGGGTGGTCAATGCTTTTAAATTTAATATATTGAAATGTTATCTTGTAGTTTATTCCTTTTTAACTTTTATTTACTTATTTTCATAAGTACATTAAGAAATAAGAAATATATAGGAAAAAATGCCAAGGGATATCCCACAACTATAGCATATAATTTCAGTATCTGAACATGTTCATAAAAAGGTGAGAATTTTTGTTTGCTATGGTCACATTTAAATCATTCATTTCTTAATCAAAGATTAGTTTATAAAATTATTTGTGAATTATATCATAGCTTGAGTAATAGGATAAAAATCCCTGACATTTGTAAGGAATCTATTTTCTTTAGCTTTGGTTAAATTGCTCATAATAAGCTTTCTATATTTCAATGAATTCTTTAGCTCGTCTTCTATTAGTATAATTGCTTAGTTTTATCATTGTTGCATACTCAGCTTGTTTTTCCAATCTTTGACAGCTGGACTGATATTAAACTCTAACATAATCTCTGGAAGAATTTCTGGAATGATACTCAGTAACATGTTTTTAGCATTCATGTTTTTCATAGGAAAGTCAATTTAACCATTTTCTGCATTTAGGTTGTTTTACTCTGTGTGTTTGTCGTTCATAATTTTTCTGAACCAACCAGAGAGCTGTGATTATTGGGTGATACAAAAATGAAATTATTATTCTTGTGGATGAGGATGATCTCATGCTCGCGGTCCTCCTTAGCTCTCTACTGCTGTCTGATCCCTGGCGCAATAAACTAGACTCACCCAAGGTGCAGCCTCAACATTAGAGCAGCACTATCTCAAACTGTGGAGTTGACACATGGCATGTGGGCTGAAAAGGAGGGTTCCCACTGCATCTTTCTGCCAAACAAATAAAAGAAAACATCCCTTGCCTGCCTCAGTTTTGGATTGCTAAAGCAGCTTACTTGTTGGACACTGGTGATCGGAAGATGTTGTTAAAGCCTGGAATACCAATCACACCTGACCTACCAGTTTGAGGGCAGAGGGCCATCCATGGGGCCGTGGTGTGGGGAGAGATGAAACTTTTCAGCCCTTTGCCCCTGCCACAGTTCTGATCCCAATCAGGAGGCTATGTTTGCAACCTCCACCGGGACAAAGGCTTCTGCCGGCACCCACAGAAGCTTGGTTCCCAATGGCCAAAAGCAGGTAACTTGGGAATATTCCACTTAGGATCTCGTAGAGGAGAAGGATTAAAGCTCACCTCCCACATACAACATGGTTCAGATTCGATTGCCCCCCACCCCAAGATGGCTGTTCAAACACACTGGAGCTGCCCCAGCTGACATCTCAGATGGAAGGAGGGGGCTGCCGCACCTGGAACATGATTTGGCCACAGTCAGACTTTCCCCAGCTGGGGGATGCTCAGGTGCCTGGATGCCTCCCTGCCCAAGGTGCCTGGTGGAGACTTTTCCTCCCAGCCCTCAGTTTGAGCACCTTCGCCTCCCCTTTTAGGAGAGCCTGTTGTGTTAACAGGCATTCCACTCAGCTTGTTAAGGGCTGTGATCATAACAGCCATAAGACGTGAGCGATAGATGGATTCTGGTATGTTGCATTGTGTTCCCTTCCAGCTTCATTGCTTAAGTGACAGTGGTGGACCACCATACCAGATGAGTTTGCTTGCTGGTACAGCCACACAGAGTCCATCAAACCAAATCTCTCTGGCCATTGAAGCCACTGTCTCATGCTACAAGTACCCAACCAGTACCTGAAAGCTCTTCAGGCTTCCCTGTACTTATCCAAAAAATACTTTGACATCAAGAGCTCCAATAATTCAAATCTGTGCTGGCAGATGCCCAGCAGAGTAGAAGGTGTGATAGAAGCAATGTTTGTCTCTCCTTCCTCCTTTCTGTTGCTCGCTTCACTAGATGTGTTTCTGACTATGTTTAGTGAAGTCACAGGGAAAGGGGTGGTGGTGTTTCTACAGCAGTTCCCTCCCTCAATTGCACCCTCACTCGAGAAAGCTTGCATGGTTCCTTCTGCAGCACTGAAAGGGGTGGGAGATGCTCCCCATTCAGATTTCCCTGCCTGAGGTTGTAGCAGTGTCTATAGCATTGGAGAGGAAACTCTTAAAACTCCTAAGGTTCCTAGAAGACCCTTAAGGGAGTGTGGGATTGTTAAATCAATTTATTTTTAATTAACTGAATCTGTGTATAAATAAGTATGACAAAATTACCATCCATCTCCGGGGCATAGTTGAATCTGATCATGTAAAAGGAAGTTTCTGAAATTATTGCTCAAGCTAAAAGCTATCCCTTTGTAGGGGAGAAAAACATATCCACAGCAAATTGGAGGCAAATGGCAGCAGTTCAGAATCTTCAAGTTTAGCCTGCTGCATTGCAAGAACATCAAAAAGGAAACTAAAAAGTATGTGACAATTCCCAGAGGCGATGGAGATTTACAGTGCATTCCAAAGAACTCAAAGTATAACCAGGTAGTCTTACGCAAAGCTGCTTTTTAAAAAAATGGTGCTTCTGATCTCACTAGGAATTCCTTTTGGATAAATCTCTTCACAGAAACAGTGAGGACCCAGCTGCAGGGTGAGATGTGAGTAATTAACATGTATCTTATAAAAGCATGTGTGCCTTTGTTCCCTCTTCTGATTGAAAGAGGATAAAGAAACAGCAAACATGAAAGCCAGACATTCAGGGGCATGACCAGATAATGTATTAATAAAAAAAAGAGTATGAATAGACATGAACAAATTAACTTGTCCAAATCTTCCCAAGAAATACCCTTTCCTTCCAGAACACAGCATGGACCAAAATGAGAAAGCCACACGGGAAACGCATGTGGGAACTATTGATTCATAGCTTCCAGTACAACAAAGATATATATTGAAATAATGAGGTGCTTCACTGTGAGCTTTTGCTCATGGAAGGTTCAAAGAACGGGAAATGTTGCTCCAGATGGGTGTAAATGGTAGACTGAAGAAGGCTTGTGTGGTGAACTAAAGCCTGGGATATTAGGGTGTCTTGAGAGCCTGGGCTGAGGTCTCACAGTGAAACTGAGCCAACAATTAAGATTATTATTAGAAGCCCAAAGCCAAAGATTAAGATTATTATTTCAGGAGTATAATACAGTTTAGCTTTCCTTACTCTGCAGTTCTTGGTTATTTGCATCCCTCTGCTAAGCATTCTCTCACAGTTTGCCTTTCCTTCTCAGCCTCCACCCTCTGGCCTTCACCTCTTGTTCAGATCACTCTCTGTTCAAGCTCTCTTGCTCTACCTCCGTATCATCACTTCCTTGGGCCTGCTTTGCAAGACCTGCATCCTCCTTTCCAAGGCTCCTGCCCCTCCTGCCCCTCCTTTCCAGCCTTTCCAGCCCATCTTGCCCTTCTTTAAGATCAGAGCAGCTCAGCCAGCGGCAGCAAGAGACCTACCAGCAACACGCAGGCAACTCAACAGTTGGAGGCTTCACCAGGAAGGTCTGCATTTGAAGGCAGACTGCATTCAGCTCTATTACAAGGCATGTAGTATCTACTCACCCCAGAATCCGGAGGATCTGGCAACCAGCCTAGCTCATTTTCAGCAGTACTTGTGTCAAGAAGATTCACTGAAAATTAAAAAAAAGCAAACAAACATTAGGGCAAGCTTAAACATTTTAAGTCAACCTAAGAAGAACTGTGCTAGGTCAAACTAAAGGCCTATCTGGTCTAGCACTCTGTTCACAGAGCAGCAAACCAGATGCCCTGATGGGAAGCCCTGAGCAGGACTTGAGTGCAATGGGAGATGTCTGCTTGCATTCCCAAGCAACTTGTGTTCAGAGGCATCCTGGCTCCAGTTCTCCAGGTATCATGACTAGTAGCCACTAAATAATGGGACACCACTATTTTCTTCTGTTCTGTTGCCATAGAAGAAAATTAAGTCTCCTTTTTCCCAGAGGAAGGCTACCACTCTGGAAATCACTGGTGAAGTCTGGGGAGATGCTTCTACTTCATCGCATGCTGTGTGTTACTTCTCAGTTTGGCCACCTTCTTCCGTAAGGAAGGAAGCCTGTGACCTCCTCTGCCCCAGGTTCTTGCTGAGCTGACTGGACCTGCACACCTGAAGGGTATATCCCACAAGAAAGGGCATCTATTACGAGCAAGGCCAAAAAAGGAACTAGGTGTGCTTAGTCTAGAATAAAGACAGTGAATGTGTGTCGGGATAGTGGTGAGATGCATCCAGTGACAGCGCGTGATATTCAGCGTTGCATGAGTGGACTTCTGCTTTCATGACGGGACTTCCTCTTCTTCTCATCCCTGCTTCCTCTCATCTGTAAATAATCACTCATCCCTAATAACTAGAGCAGAAACCTATGAGCGTTCAGAACATTTTTCTCTGTAGATCTTACTGATTGTCTAACTGCTTACCAGATAGCCTTTCATGATTGACATGTACTGGTACGAAAGGAGCAGTTCAGTGGGTACGGGGTGGACAAACTGGTAGTCTCTAGACCTTGCCATGCTTGCATCAGAAATGTGGAAGGTGGGGCAGTGTTTTTCCTCACATTCTGCACCTTTTCAGCCTTTAGTTTCTCGAACATTTCCTTCTCACTGCTCCCAATGAAAGGGCACTAAACTGTAGCAAATCTAGGGTGCAGTCCTTCCACCCATTCTGAGGATATGTTAAGGGTATTGTATCAATCTAGATAGGAAACTTGGAATACCAGAATGGGCAAATAACTCTGTAGCTACAGAAGGATGGCATAAAGGAGGGAAAAGCTGCCAGGCAGTGACCCAGCACACTGGTATGGAGACAGAGCAGGAAAGGCACAAAAAGTGGGACGTTAGACCCATACTTCACCGATTAAGGAACTTAATTTTACAAACTACTGCCTGATTCTTTAACAATTGCAAATGCCTCTTGGTGGGTTGAGTCCAGATCTTCTCTGGATCCTCCTCTGCATTGCCTCCTGTTTGCCTACTTGCCTAGAAAAGCTACAGCAGTAGACCTTCCTGCCATCACAGTAGCTTAGTCGATTTCATAATCTGACATCTGACAAAATAAGGGCGATCAAGAGATGGCCGCAAGTCTACATCCTGGAGGCAAACATTTCACAATCAACATTCCAAATTTAAATTCTGCACTCAGAAATCAAATGGAACTTGTTACATTTGGGCTCATAACAACAACAAACAACAACAACTTTTTTGCACAACGTCATTTCAGCCCTGCTAGGCACAGCCAGGGACTTCAGATAGAGGGGAGCTTGTCCTTGCTGTCTCCTCTCTCTTTTGTAAGTCATATAACATCTGAGCAGTGGTTCATGGATCTCAGTTGCCTCAACACAGTTATTCATAGACTGACAGTAAATCTCAGAAACTTTACCTGTTGCACTTTGTGAGTTACTGACTCACACTGTATGTTCCTCACATGAATGAACAACTCCCACAAAAAGGCCTCATGAGGTGCCCATTAGTGTGGTACGCAAATCTAAACTTATCTGGGATTAATTAGGCTGGGAAAATGCTATCTTAGCACCAAGAAGTCGTGTTTTCTTCACAGAAAAAATCAGACCTAGCAAAGGGATAAGAAGTGACAGGGACAAATTACCAGAACAACAGATCAATTAGTATTGCCTCAGGAAACCAACCAGAAGCAGGAATGAGAGGCCAGGGGATCATGAGAAATGCCTCACAGAATGAAGGAATGTACAAGCATCTACACCATTCGGTTAAAGCAAAAGCAAAAACTATTGAGCAGACATGAATGCACTGAGTGAGCTACTGAACGATTCTATAAAGACATGACACGTAAGAACGATGGAATGCCAGTTAAGCTTAAATCCCAATAAAACTTCAGATGGAAATCTGACTTTGGCCTTGTGCAAACGTAAGCGTGGAGATTAAGAGTGCCTTGTGGACTCAGCCCTCTCCATCCCCTCCCTTGTTGCCTTTTGTGTGGGCATCCTCTTCCCAGTTTCATTATCAGAGCTATGAATAGCTTCATGGCTACACCTGTGTTTTCACTCACTGGAGCCAGCATCAATCCCACCTTTGCAGCCAGGATTAGAAGCAACTTTGTAAACTGTGGTTTGGGCCTACTCGATGGGAGCAGTTTTCCCACAGGTTCATCCCTGTATGGCTGTAATAATTAAAGACGCACAACTATGTGGAAGGGACCAATCAAGTAGGCATTTCCTACTCACTCTGTAACGCTCATTGGACTTTTTCACAGTGCATCATTTTTCTCCCACTGGCCCTGTCTCATATTTTTCTTAGGTTTCTTCCCAGTTCTTATTCCTCCTTCCTTTTACCCTTTTGAATGCCATACTATTCACCTTTTACCCTCTCTAATGCACATTTTGCCACACTCCCACTTCTTTCCTAACCCTGTGCCCCCTGCTTCCTGGAATACATCACCTTGACTCTGGTTCTGGGTTTTCCACCAAGCAATTCTCTTCTCCCTAAATAACTTCCCTCTTTGGATGAATTCTCCAGCATACTCTGAAGTTCCTGCCTTGAATCCTGTCCACACATCTTCTCAGCCCCATATAGGCTTGCACAAGGAGGACTCCTGTCTTTTGCACATTTCCTAGTCATATGGTAAGAACTGATGCAACAAATAGTTATGGACCCACAGGTTCTATTCAGAACCTGCACTGGACACATACTGTGATGGGACAAGGAAGGATAGTCTGCGCCTGTCAGATAATTCTTCTTTTCCTTTCTTTTTTGTCTGGTCTTTTCCTTCAACTCGTTCTTGCCCTTGTCTTCTTGACCCTTGTCATTTTATTCCTTTCTCTGTTTTTCCCTCTAATTCCTTGGATTGTGTTGCAGCAGCCTTCAGTGTTCCTCTCTTCTCTCTGGATTACTTTATCCTGGATGCATCATACTCTGATTACCTGACTTCCTCTGGAACAGCCTCATCTATCTGTTATTTATATTTACTCTTTAGGGAGACTTTGGTACAAAACTAATTATCTTCCTAAAGTCATTATTTGCTTTCTCCTCCTTTTTCAGTCTCATTCTTCTAATGCTAAACTGTCATCTTATTTGTTTCCTTCATATACAAATTATATAAAATTACAAAAAATGAACATTTTAGAAACATTCCCAGAAGGGTAGCCCATGTTACCCTGTTGCAGGAAAAAATGAAAACAGAAGTCCAATAATCAAGAAGTCATGTAACATCTTTAAAAAACAATGACTGTATTATGGCATATACATTGAAGTCCACCTCATGAGATGTATTAAATTTTATCTTCAGAAATTTTATTCTATTTACCAGGACTTGAACAGAGAATATAATTTCCCCTTTTGCAACAGGTTAAAATTTACTTTGCATAGGTTACTGTGTTATCACTAAAGTACTGAAGTTGTGAGCTGTCACTATACTTATTCCACATATATTTAAACTGTATTTATCACTGTGCATTTCAATACCACTTAATATTTATCTAATATATATTTTTGCAACAAATGCAAAATTAAAAATTTGAAATTAAAAGCAGCAGATCCAGAATTAGAATATATGTTATGAAAAAGCAAGTCATCTTTTTAAAAAGCAATATTATGCATAAATCTAGTAGAAACACAAAGTAATTAAACATCTCTGGGCTAAAAGTACTCCAAGCCATATGGATATTATAGGACATTGCTTCCCTAAGATTCTTTGGCTTGTTCTCTTGAACATTTCCAGGAAAACAGTCAAAAAGATGACAACATTTTGGTGAGCAATCTTTTGGCAGGTGCGTGAATGCTGCCTGCCAAATACTGGAGAAATTGAAACCTACAAATAGCAGATTAACAGAATAGGAAGAGAATAATGATGAAAGTGTCAATAGTGGTTGCAGTGTATGCAGTACTCAGTGCAGTCAATTTAAGTCACAAGGAGGGGTGGATGTGACTTAGGGAAACAAAAATACCCATGTAAAAGTCTGTGCACATCAATGTTTTTATGCAGATGACTATACACAACATATTCTACATGTATTATGTAATACAGATGGTGTGATGGACCATTATTTATTTATTCACTGTATTTCTAGGCCGCCCCATAACCCGAGGGTTCTCTGGGCAGTTTACAAGATGCTAAACCAGCATATAAAAATACAATCAATAAAATAGATAAAAACAATAAAAGTAATAAAAAGTTATACAAGGGGATACAGAATAAAAGATAATAAAAGCTATAATATATAATATAATCTGTGTTTCTCTTTCCTAACTACCTTTAATATGTGGCTAAACTACCCTTTCCCACTCCCAAATGCTTCCCCGCAGCCACTGCTATGCTTTGATTCCTGTGCCCGCTGCTCCATTCCCTTCTTGCCTCAGGCATTTGCAGTATTTCCCAAGGGCCAGTAGACTTTTGCCCCGGCACAGAAACTGGGCAGTAGGGACATGCCTGCCTCCGCTTGCCCCAGAACCAAAGTTCAACCACTACTGCTGCCTCAGCTGGTGAGGGGTTCAAAGGGAAAGAGGGAAGGTTGCAAAGGGCCAGGGGCTAGGACAGAGGGCTTTTGATGCTTCCTGCCAGGGAACTTGAAATAAACGAAGTTACTTCCTTGCTTTATTTCCATGTGGGCCTCTCTGTCCTTAAAATACTCAGCATTTCTTACAGTGACCTTGTAAAGTAGGCCAGATTTATTATTCCCAAATTACAGGTGAGAATCTGTGTCTAAGGCCATCCACTGAATTTATGGCTGAGGTAAGGACTGAACCAAAATTTTCGCAGCTCATACTCTTGGGTGTAATCGCATGCATGTTTACACAGAAAATACCCCACAACTCCCAGCAATCCTGAGCCAGCATAGCTATCTAAATCTGAATAGCTTTGCAATCTTAGCCACTGTACAACACAGCACCAACTCTCCATGTACAAGCATTTAAATGGGTGATTTTGATCTGGCACTAGATGGTTAATACCCCAGTCCCATCATTTGTACTGTAACAGCTTGGCTACCCGACATTTAGTTGCTGCAGAAGTACCACATTTTCCAAAGGGCCATACAGAACATTGCTGTAAAATCCATACCACTCTGTAGAACAGTTCTACAGAACCATTTCTATTAAACCAACATTATGAAACACGTCCAATGCAACAACAATAATTCATTTTTCCCCCTCAAGATGACATTAATTTTACACTTCTGTTGGTTTTGAACTCTCTGGGGATGCCCATGTTACATGCAGGTGCCTTCGGGGACCGTCTCCATAAATGAGTGAGTGTTGTAAAGCAGCGCATGCTGTGAAAGCATGAGAGAAAATCCCAGAAGAATTGATCTCCTACTGAATCCCAGCTACTGTCAAGTCTCTGAAGATAATCTTATCTGCTCCTGTTAAGAAGACCTGCAATCATCATACACTGTTCTTTTAAGCTTGGATCATCTCTGCCTCATGCACTCTAATGTGACAGAGATAGAAGAGGAGATAGCATTACACAACAATGCTATCACACCAAGGATCACTGCACTGACAGAGACCTCCCTGGGTTACACATCACTAGAGGCTCTTCTCTACTCTGCAGTAGTCTCTTCTACGCCAGTTAAAGACATACCAAAGAAACATAATGGCCCTATGAGGTACCACCATACTGAACTGTTCAAATGGAACATCCAAAAGACAAAGTTCAGGGGTAATGTGCGTGCGCTTAAATGCATGTGCATGACACACAAGATGTAGCTATGATGCGTTGGCTCTAACATGCAGCTTCTCACAAGCCAGATGTGAGTCTGAAACATGAAGGATAGCAACTGTGGCAGCACACAGTAATATCATTTTCAAAGGGCATTCCCAAAAGCCAAAACACAAAGTGATTTCCTGGGGCTAGGTCCCCAAAAGCTAAAGCTCCCAGATAATGGAGACAGTCGGAACATTTATTTTAATTTATATATCTACACCAAACCTCTTAATTGCAGAAATTCATACAAAGATGTGACTCTCTCCATCTATTCTTCTCTCTCCTGTTTAAGGATGGCTCTCCAACATAGCAGGCTGCAACATTCCCAGCCCTGCTACTGGAGATCCTTCTAGCTGAAGGTGGCAGGGACCGAACCTGCATCATCAGAGGTACAAGCCTGTGTCAAATGGGCCTCTTGGCTTGCTGATCCAGTGCCCAGAGTGGATGGAAGAATGCCTGAAAAGATGCATGGGGTGGAAGAACCCAGCTATGCACTTCCAAATGCACAATCCATCCCCAAACTTTGCTTTAATATGCACCGCAGCAAGGCTGTGAATAATAAATATCTAAGAAACAGAGATGGGTGAAACCACGCACATGCATTCAATGGATACATCTGCATCTTTCAACTATGGGGTGGGTGGGAAGATTAGAAGGATTCTGGCTTCGGCAAGGGGCGGCATAGAAATGTTCTAATAATGATAATAATAATGATAATAATAATGATAATAATAATATCCAGGGAGCTTGCCATAGTCATGTGGCCCTCTTCATGGCCCCAGGCTCTGCTGCCAAACCTATCCATGGGCCAACAGGCATGATGGAAAAACAGTGTTAGCTGTGACTGGCAGTGCCTGGAGACCTCTGTGTGGGCTGTGAACAGGGTGGATGATCCCACTGGGTCCCTCCTGCCACTCTACTGTCTACTGGAGGAGTGTTGCTGGGTATGCATTTGTGTGTGTGTGTGTGTGTGTGTGTGTGTGTGTGTAAGATCTTATCTATCCCATTCATAATTTTGTGTCGTTATTTTGGAAGCTCTGTCTGTAATGAATACATTGGTCAACCATTTGTGGGGTGGGGAGACCTGCAGATCAGGCTTTTGTATCGGAAGGGAAGAAATGGCTTCCGTAGGCAGCAGTGAGTAATACCATGAGGGTGCTTTTCCGAGCAAGTTCCACTTTTTCTCATACACATTCTGAGAACTATGCGTGTGGATGGAGGGGGGCTGCACTGCCTCAGCGGCATGGGGCTGTTGCCATGGTGCAGCTACCTTCCTGATGGAACCCGGTTATAATCAGGTTCTGAGCAGCTACAAACCTTGGTATAATGAATGCCAAGATTACAGGTGCAAAAGCAGATCCGCTCAAAAGACATCTCATTAGTAGGCACGAGCAGACTAGGAGATTCAGATTAAGGATGCCCGTGTTATAAAAAGCCCAAGTATTATGAACAATGACACATCATATTTATGAGCCCCTTATGTGCAAACTTTATTAGCATCTCCACTAGACAAGGAAAAAGCCTAATAGAACTGGAAGCCAAAAGGACAGACATCGAGGCACTAAGAGTTACCCTGCAATGTGAGAAATCACTGAAATACTGTGGTATTTTGATTACATGTGAAATATAAATTTAGCTTTGAAATGCTCTTCATATTTGTGAACTCTTGCACCTGAGGTTTCATAAATTGCTTCACAAATTCTCAATTCATTGACCAAGCTATTCATTGTTGGTTAATTTCCATCTAGTCCAGTATTCGATGCTGGGTAATGTCAATATTTCAACAATCTGGGCTTAAAGGTCATTCTGGCACACGTTGCCAGCGACTTAAAGAACAATGTAAACCTGCCCACTCTGTCCCATGAACTTGTAATGCCCAGCTATTTCCACTGAAGTGATTTTAATCACCTTAACCATAACCAATGGGGCCCATCATGATCAAGACTTTGCCACTTCTTCGAGTCCATCCCTTGTGACCTCTCAGGGGTCATTTGTTCTCCCCAGGAGCTAGAGCTGCAGAAAAGGATGCCATGAATTGCTGGCAATTGCTAGCAGAAAATTCCCAGTACTTTCCTCAAACTTGCCCTGGTCTCACTCTCAGTAGGAGTGCAAAAACATCAAAGGTCATTGCAATCAAATATCAACAGCTATTATGCTATTGTGCAATTCTCTCCCCTCCCCCCTTTCAATTATGCTTTCAGGGCAAAAGACCAAAGCCAGATGCTAGCTTGTTGGGAGACTTAAGGCACAATCCTGTGCAAGCTTAGGCAGAAAAAAGGCTGAGGCAGGCTGGGAGATGTAGGCCTTTTTTTCTGGCTGCAATCCCAAATACACTTACCTGGGAGTAAGTCCCTCTGAACCCAATGGGACTTACTGCTGAGTAGACATGACCAGGATTGCACTGTCAGTAGCATCAGGAAGATGAACACCTTGAAACTTCTTGGTGACTCTTAGCCACCAAGATCCACATTCGGCCTGCCCCAACCTGGTGCCTTCCTGATTATTTGGATGGCAAATTCTAGCATCAGCAATGCTGGCTGTGGCTGATGGGAGTTGACACTCAAGACACCTCAAGGGCACCAGGTTGGGGAAGGCTGCATCGCACAGTGCCGAGTGAGGGTAAGAGTTGAGGACCAGAGAAAGATGACACTTGGACCACTGCAGAATGCTGGATTTTTGTTGCTGGGACTGGGAGTGGGCACCATTGCCCAGCTGTCTCTCTGGCACAAGAACCTTGCCTTTCAGCAGACGCTCCACATTCTTCAAGGCCCACGAACATCCTTGCCTCTCCTGGGATGTTATGACTCACTCCCCACAGGAGCTATTTCAGGAGGACCTTCTACTCTACACTTTTGACCCAATATGCAGGCCTGATGATTAAAAAGGGCGACCCTTTTTTGGGTGATACTGGGTCAGTGGGGTGGGAGCATGGAATTGGGAGTCACCCGCCAGCACAAAACCTGCTAGCCGTAGCACAAGCCTGGCTGAGTGCTACGTGCAGGCAGAAGTGACAAGGCTCTGGTTTGCTCTTGGATTGTAATGTTATGCATGCTATAAGGCTCCTCTGGTGCATCTCACCCTTCCACACTTGCCTACCCAGGAAATGGCACTATTACCCATTCACCTCCATGTTTATGAAGACTCTTGAAGGGATCTGAGGCCACCAAGCCAACCAAGAGCCCTTTCTTAAAAACAAAGGTCCAGAGCTTAAGACTGAGTTTGCATCGGTTTGAAGAATATTTTGTTTACTGGACAGGGTGGTGTGCTGATCTTTCATTGATTCGGGTTTGCATCGCCTTCCAGCTGGGTGGGAGGGGAAGAGGGGGAGAATGTCTGAGCTCTCCAGCCATGTCAAGCAGGGCCATTTCACACGTTTTGGAGCAGCAATGCCAGGCCGGTGGTTAACGAGTGTGCCACACTGTTACACCACTGGATGAGATGGAGGCTTTACCCTCTTGGCCAGTGCATGAGCAGGCGGCTTCCTAATTCCATCTGCTCCCCGTGCGAAGTCACACAGAGCACAAGTTTCTGTACGCTCCTGAGAGAGCTCCATCCTGATGAAAGGCGCCAGCCTTTGGCCTTTCCCCTCGTCTCAGAGCAAAACGTCCCTCCCTGCCACCTCCCCGGCCTGGGACCCTTCCCGCGCCCTTTCCCCTTGCAGAGTGCCCTTACCTTCTTTACCAGGTATCTCGTGGGGAAAGGAGGCACAGAGCAGGACCAGGAGCTCCAAGGAGAGCCCGGCCCTCCTGCCAGGAAGTCCCAGCTCCATCTCCCCCGTGGAGGCAACCTGCTCCCAGGCCCTCGCCCTGCTGCTGCTCCGCTCTGTCAGGCTGCAGCCCGCTCGGCTCCTGGGCCAGGGGCCCTGGGCATCTGGCCCTCGCGTGGGCCCTCCGCGCAGGGCTTTCTCTACAGCCTCCAGATGGACTCGGGCTCGTGCATTGCAAAATCTGCCTGCCTGCCTGGCCCAGAGTTATGATGAAAGACTAAAGCAGAGGAGTGGTGAAACCAGTTCTCTCCCAATCAACTCCCTTGCTTTACTAGCTTTAAAGGGGCTGGCCCAGGACTTCCCATCTGGCAGACAAATAAACTCACCTTAAAGGTAGCCACCTTTTCCTGGGATAGTCCCGCTCTGCCTTTCCCGCAGGCACGCGCAGTTTGTGGCTCAAGCGCGCCATCTTGTGGACCTCTGCCGACGGTTTGGTTCTGCTCTCCGTAGCATCTGCCTTTTAAGTGACTTTTCCTGAAGTTAGGCTATTTATGCATGGACACAGTCCAGGTCATCCTGGATTTTATGCATGGAAAGAAGCTTCTGGTGTCGGTATTCTGTCGGAGTCATCCAAAGGTGTCCCTTGTACCTGCACCGTTTATACACACTTGAAGAACAGAACCACTTCATCTCCCTTTCCTCCCCAACCCTCCTTGAGGAATCAGTGGAAACATGTGGAAGTACTCATGTAATACATTTCTGAATAAATGAAGGTATCCCCCCATTCTCTATTGCTCAGATTCCCACTGTACACACAGCCCAAGTTCTCTGTGGTCAGCTGGGATATTCTAGGAAGGAGAGTCCTATGCAATATTTTGAAAATATCCACACACAAAACAAGATTCAGAAATGGAGGTATACATTTTCCCTTTAAAAGTCATCTGTGGTCCTTTTCCATCTCAATTTCTAACCCTTCTCTCCAGACCCAGTTGGCACAGGATAGTGCGTTTTCTAAATCTCCTGGATCATGCAAATGCTTCCCACATCAGAGTGGTGTGAGGAGATTCTGGGTTGAGAACTAACCTCGCAATCAGCGCGGTAGAAGCAATGTGGAGCTTTCATACGTGACTGAAGTTCTGCCAAGTTAATATGAGTTTGCATTTGTAACCTTGTGAGTAAAGTCTTATCAGTGAAAAGGACCATAGACTCTAGTTTGTAATAGAAATTAATTATGTGGTTTATTGATACACAATAGTAGGTACAGAAGCTACAGAGGATAGTCTTTTAGGCCTGAAGAAGAAAATAGAGAAAACCCCAGTATGATGTCATAAGCAAGGCAGTGTGATGTCAACAATAATAATTAAGACATACTAAAATGTGAATCCATAGGAGCAGTAATTTGAATCACTGGCTAAAAGGAATAGCTGACAAAGTTTCTAGTGATAAAGCAATATATGTGATTTCTAGGCCCTGCTTTGCATCTCCTGTTAATACTTCCTCCAGTCCATCTATTTCAAAAGCATCTTAAGTTCCCTAGTTATTCTAATATAGCATATTCACTCCTTTGAGAATTCAGGTAATGTAGTGTGATCGTTCCTGCCTTCCTTTCAGTTTTGCCATTTTTGCTTTTCTTCTTCATTTTATGCCTGAAAATGCAGAGGCAGTCCTGATTCCTTCCTTGGCGATACAGTGGAGGAAAGGGTATGTTATGTTACCCTCAAACTAATATTAATAAACAGCAAGGTAGCACTGCAGACAAAACATTCTTTTTTGCTATCAGGTCAGGCCTAGTCCCCCGTCTCCCCACCCACCCAAAACTGCAAGGTTTTGTACTGTGAAACTCTCTTTTGAGGTTGTCTTCAATAACTAGTGTAATGTTAAAAAAATCAGTCCTGCATTAAGTTTTCAAATCTTCAAATTTCTTTCCATTGTTGACTTGCATGTCAAGAACAAACATTGACTATGGAATCCCAGAGGGTTTGGGGACATGTGCTGGTGCATACGCTTCAGTAATGTGGGGACACTGGCCAAACTTTTTAGAAGTTACCATCAGTCCATTGCAGCAGCAAGTGTAAGACCAAGGTAGACCCAGTACTTCCCTTCTTGTGGAAGCTTATTTAGTAATACTGATATTCTCCTTGAGGAAGTCTTAATAAGCTTCCGAGGGTCCCCTGGGTTCCTTGGAACAGAGTATAAAAACCAAGCAAGCTCCAGCAATAACGTGTCTTACTCACTGCGGTGATATGTGAGTTTAGACAAAGAATGTGGCCTTTGATCCACCCAACAAGCACTTGTGAGTGATGGGCATGTGCTGAGTATCAGAGAAATATCTTCATTTCTGATAAGTAATGAGCATTTCTGATGAGTCATGAGATTGAGTTAGGTCATTTCAGTGTAAGCCTCTTTTTCTGCTTCCAGAAAACTTTTCTCAAGTTTTTAAGGCTGACCTTTGTTAATGGTGAGACAAATACATTGATGAGATATGATTTCCGTCCAAAACTAACACTGAGCTCAAGTTCATTTTGTCCATCTGTTTTTATGTATGATGTCTATGTAAGCCTCATCCCCTCACAGGGGGAAGAGTCAGGACAAATAGATCTGGGACCCAGCACCAGCAGCTCTGCATCGTTTCCTTTAAGGCTTGATCTTGCTGTGTATCACAAGCAGGCACTTGCGCACTCCATATGCTGCTTGCCACAGCCTTTGACCTGAGAAAGTTAGGAAAGAAGGAAGGAGAAAAGAGAAAAAAGTTTCAGGAATTGAGTCACACAACACAGCAACCCATTGTGAGGTGCTACCCGCAATGGATTATAATGTTGTGTGAACAGGAGTAATTCCCACTCTGTGGTAACAAGGTACCCCAAAAGTAGTTTGAAGGTAATGAGCTACCTTGACAAGCTGCGGTTTATTCTAGTAGCTGTTGTACCCAGAATGGGTTGTCTTGTCATTTAGACTCAGAGGACCAATTTGGTTTGCAAGAAACCAGCCACAAAGCCCTCTGGCATGAGTGGCAAACCCCCTTTTGTTCCTCTTGGCATAGACTCCTGGGCAACTGCCAGTGCCACCCCTCCGCCAATGATCAAGCGGCACTTGAGGGGTGCTGGTGCTGCATTCTTCCCCACCACCTTGGGTTTGCTTTTTCTTTCTTCATCTTTTTTCTCCAGAAGATCATGAAAGCCAGCTGTCAAGCCGGCTTTGTCATTCTTGTTTTGACAGCTGTAGGCAGTCCTTTCAAAGTGTCCCAGTGGCCCATGGTTGCCAAGGCTTAAAAAAATCCACCAAAATTGCATGAAAAATAGCTTTTAAAAAGTTAGGTGTTGTTGCACAACTGCTTAGTTACTTGATTGTGGGTTCCTTCCTTCTTTCCCTCCAGCTTTTTCAGAATGGGGGTTAATGAGAGCAAGAGATGGTTTGTAAAAGTGACAGAGTTTGGGATATCTGATACTAGAGGATTGATGCAAAACATACCATATCAAAATTCCTACTGTGAGGAACATGAAGGAGCAAACCCCACTGATACACTCACTATATACGTGAATGAGGCAGGGGGATGCAGAACAATGAGGCTGCCATCATTAAGCCTAGTTTTGCACAGAGCGGTGACTTTCCTACATATGCTCAGGCTAAAATTAATATCTCGGTTTGCTAATATAAAGGCTATCATAGTTCTCTTTATTTCCGCCTGACTCACATGTTCTTCTTAGTGCTAGAAACAGAATTAAGTAGCTGCTAGACTTTATATTTTCTAGAAACTGTTTATGTTTCAACAGCCCTCACATATCCATGAAATCTGTTTTGCAGCAGACACTAAACTAAGTCTGCCAAAACTCCCTCTTCCGGGCCAAATGAAACATGATCCCACTGGCCCAAGGTCTTTTGCTGGCTGAGGTGAAGGACAAGATGGTGCTCCTTCTGTTTCATGTACAATAGCAGTGGCAGATGGTGGGGTAACATCCTCCCTTGCACTCAGAGGCAGAAAGCAATCAGAACAGGTCTCTTCTCCTTCACCTTGCTGCCACCTACCAGTATCTGCTGCCTGAGGCAATTGGTTCAGGCTGTCCGCTAAAGGCAGGGCCAGTCCTGCATGCATCAAACAGTTGCAGTGCAGCATGCACAGGTGCCCAACAACCCTGAGAAAGCATGGCTGAAATGTGTCCTCCTGGGCTTGCCATTCCTGTAAGCATTCTGCATTGCTACAGCATGGTGATCTAGTTGCAGGGATGGTGTCGGGGCTGGTTCACAGGCAAGAGAGACTGCTTATGAGTCCATGGGCAGAATGGCAAGGAAAGGGCAGGAAACCTTTCTGTAAGGTGAGAACCGGTTGGGTGAAGATGGCCCAGCTGATGGAACCGGCAAACTAAGCCTCCCCCAACTTGCCTCCCTCCAGATGCGTTGACATGTTGGTTGGAGATGTTGGGAGGGTACGAGGAGGCTGTGGGAGGTGGAGCTGTGGAGGGGAAGAACACCAGAAGCACTTTGGGGCAGACTGTGGCCTGCTTCACGTGGAACAACAACCCAGAGTACAGGCTAAGCATGGGTTGAATTGTGGGTTATTGATGCAACATAGGTTGTCAATATGTGTGAATACTGCACTATGGTTGAATATGAACAACTGGGAAGAAAACCCATGGTTTCTTGTTGGCTCGTGAACTCTGGGTTGTTCATGGTGAATAACCCGTTGTTAAACAATAGTGTAGGGGTTGCATGTCTAACAACCCACCACTTGACAACAATCCGTATTCAGGATTTGCATTATGTGCAAACCAAGTCAAACAGAAAGAGAACGAGGCATGTGCTTTGAGTACTGGGAGGACAAAAAAATATTGGGAATGTTTTGCTGCCTTCTTTTGGGATATGATGGGAAAGGGGCAGTGGATTTACTGCCTGGCAGGACTGTATATAAAATGTTGTCTCTGGCACTTTTCACCAGTCGGGGAAGTGAGAAGCACAAACACAGTATGTGATGAGGTAATACACTTCTTGTATTACTTCTCATATCATTTACCAAACTGGCTTTGCTTTCTTTTCACCTTCTCCTGCAGCAAAATATGTCTTTATTACTACAAAATGAAATAAGTTACAGCTTTAAAAAGGCAAAACAATTGAAGGGATAAAACTTCTAAGATCCAGGCATAGTCATACTGCATGAAGATCAGCTGAGATCAAAGGAACATACCTTAGGCATATCAAAGTTCCCTTGATTGCAATGGGCCTGTTTTGAACATGGCTAAATCTGGAAAGAATGCTATTTGAATGCTGTTTACTAAACCTATCTTTAGTGATAGGTTTCTGTATACACTTTTAACATGATCTTTGCTAGGGATAAGAAGGTCTATTTCCTCAGTGACTAACATTGGTGCCAACATTTCCTGCTTATTTTGGCAAGGAATTATACTGATTTCTCTTGCATTTATATTATTTTTATATTATATTAAGGAATTATATTGATTTCCAAACTGGAAATGGAATATGAAAACAAAAACAAAAAACAGAGAACCATATGAAACAATGACTTCTCTTGCTGAATTTTCTTGCTGAAGTCCTGCTGAGTCAAGCAGATGCTCAGTCTAGCTCCAAAAGGGTCAACCAGATGCCTCCAAGAAACCCAGAGGGCAACATTGTGGAAGCGAGACTGTGACACACATAATGTCCTCCAACTATTTGTGTTCAATGCTGCACTGCCTCAGGTTATTGAACTTCCATTCGGCTATTATGCAAATAGTCATTAACAGATCTACTCACCATAAATTCATTTAATCTGCCTTTAAAGCATCTAACCCAGCAACCCTTGGCATATTATGCTACTGCACATTCCACAGGTTAATTTCATGTTGCAAACAGAGATACTTGCTTTTCTCTGTTATTTAATTTTATGTGTCTGTATCCCACTGTTTCGCCTGCAGAGAACCTAAGGCATCTTACATAAGTTTCCTTTTCCTCTTCATTTTATCTTCACAACAGCTCTGAGAGACAGTGACTGGCCCAAATCCTCTGATACTGTGGGTTTTAGTGAAGCTGCACAGTTTTGTTAGAAGATCAATAATTTCATGTTTCAGTTATTAAAGAGCACTTGTGTGTCTATGTCACAGATCCAAACATTTTTGGATGGACATGTTTGGAAAGTTCACACAAGGTTCTGGGCACCCCACATATGGCTGACTTCCAGGGGAGGGATTGCACCCATCCCCAGAAGGCAAAGCCATAAGGCTAAAGAAGAGTAACTTGATCAAGAACCAAAGTGCGAAACAGAAAGTCATTCTTTGGCTATACAGTTTACTGTTCCACTAAACCCACTTTTACAAGCTCGAAAGGCCCGGAGAGACATAGTTTGTCTAAGAAACTGACTCAGGGCAGAAAATGGGCAGAACCTGACTACACAGAAGAAGGGTAAGAACTTCCAATGGCAAGTCTCATATTTGCTCCCAAGGCACAGTATTACGTACTCACTGCACAGCAGGCAAACAAAGGATATTCAGAGAAACAAATGCATCTACTACACACATACTTCCACACAAACACCCAGGCAAAAACACTTTGCACCAAAACAAATTGTGGTAATTTTGCTTACCACAATGTTCTTGGTTTCTAGTCTCAGTTTCAGTTTTCTGTTTCTATTTATCAATTGGCAGAAAGGCATCTTGGGGTAACCTAGGTTACAGCTGTGTTGGGTTTCCTGTTTTTTCAATGTTTTTGAACACTGGGTATATTTGAACTTATTGTCTGAATAAAATCTAGGTAATTATATTTCTTAATATCACATAAATACAAAAGCACTATTTTATGTGGTGTCTGCTAACTACATAAATTTTGAGGGGGGTGCCAAAATCTAAAATGAAAATAAGTGACTACATCATACTCTGTGGACCCCTAGTTTATTTAATCATATTTAAATGGGGAAAATGTTCCTATGCTGATGTTATATGGACTTCTAGTTAAACCCTGCCTTCAGTCTAGCGCAAGAGTGCATCCCATCCCCTTTCCAAGGGGAAAGGAGTTTTGAGAGCTAGCTGAGCCTGTTTAAGACCCCTCCCCCACAACAAGGACATATTGCTGGGAAAAGTGCAAAATGTGGACAATCAGGGCAAGAAAGAAAAACATGTGGATCTGTTAAAAAAGGGGATTAAATCTCACCAGCCACTTTTGTGAGCAAAGATCACTTGTGCCTTCATTTTCCTTTGACAGTTTGCCCTTTGACAGCTGTCAGATAAAGCAATGAAAAGTGTCCTCTTTGTGGCAGTGTCCAGTGTTGATACCTGCTGCATTTTGACAGCAAGGACCGCCCCCCCCCCCCACACACACAACCCAAGCCATTGGCTCAGCTAAGGCTTCAAATCTCCACACTTGCAGAACTGTGTATGTCTCAGTGATGCAAATGCTGTTCAATTAAAAAAAGAAGGTGGGGGAGGGGAGGAAAAATTGTGCACATTGTGAGTGCAATTTCTTTTCTTTTCTTTTTAAGGTGTGCCATCCACTGAGAGCTACTCAAACGTGCTGTTTAGGCACCTTAAACCTTAAGTGCTGTCAGCATAAAGTTTTAAAATAGGGTGTATTGTCATAATGGAGATCTGGCGCACTGGCCACCAAGCCAACAAAATGCGGTCAAAGGGCCAAAAGTGCTGTCACAAGCAAGTGGCTCATGTTCATGGCAGGGGGCATCTGGTCACTGCTGGCCACCTGAAAGTGACGTGTGAAGTGACTGGCGAGCCGGGCAAGAGCAGGAAGGAAGGTCTGCCACTTTTGCCACCTGGTTTGCCGGCCACTTTCCAGCTCACATGGTACAACAATCCCATGTGGGTATAACAACCCATAGACCAAACCGTGGGTTCCCAGTGTGGCTTCTTGCATTCAAACGACCAACAACCCATGGGGTCGTCTCACCCCTGAAAGGTTTCTGTGTTTCTGGTGGTTTTATGAATCCACTGAAGGGCTGTAGCCTTTAGTCATCTAGTAACATCTAGGAGCGACTACTCTGAAGTGCTAGATGTGGACCTGCCTTTGAAGACTGCTTGGAAACTTCATTTAATTCAAAGCGGACTGCCAGGCTGTTGGCTGAGACTGGTCAGGGGGCTCTTGCTGGTACTGAAAGAACTTCACTGGCTCCTGGTGTCTTCCTGAGTACTGTCCAAAGGTCACTTGCCTTTACAGTCAGGCATCTGAAGAACTGCCTGCTCCCGTGCCAATCTGCCCATGCACAGAGATCGCCTTTGGAGGCTCCCCTCCAAGTGTGCCGCCATCTGAGATAATGTGGACCATGGCCAGAGATTCACAGAGGCAGCAAAGGCATGGTAATTCTCCCAGGCTTTTCAAAGTGTTTTAATGTATTTTCCTTTTTTAACAACTTATGTTTTATTTGCACATCTTATCTTGCTTCTATATACTGTCCCTGAAGCTTTGCTGAAAGGCAATAAACAGATCTTTCCAGGAAATAGTTGTGTGCTCTGTTACCCTGCTTCTGTCTCTCCTAAACAATTCCTTCAGGTTTCCAAATATCACCCCCACCCCAGCAAACCTGTTTGTCCCACTGTGTCTGGAGCCACTGCCAGTCTGGAGGGACCTGGGTGGCAGGGCCTTGGGTGGTGACCCCCTCCCCCCCTCCGTGGGACCGCTGGGTTCCCTGGCAGTGGAGGACCCTGGTGCTCCAGGCAGTGCTTGGACGGAGCTGCCAGTTTCATTCCTCATTGTGTGCCGGAGCAGCATTGCATCCTGCGTGTGGCTTGTGGGAGGGAATGTAAATGGCAGCTGGAGAGAAAGGGAGGCTTCAGCACTGGACCTGGCCAGGCTGCCAGGCCCCTGGGAGCCGCCCAGACATGCCAGATGCTGGTGTGACAATGGGACAACAGAAATAAGCATCTCTGAACTGTGAGAACCGCTGCCTCTCCCAAGTCACGTCCAACTGCCTCTAAAACTTTATTGGAAAACCACGTTGGCTGCAATCCTATGCCTACTTAATTGAGCTGAGTGAGGAGAAGGTCCACCTGTGCAGACAGGTACCTCTCATGCCACTGAGGAGCACTAGCTGTGACCCCCGAGGCGATGGGGCCCCACCAGGCATGCTGTGCTCAGCCCGGTGCTCGGCAATCCCACCGTGTTGCAGCCCCAGGTTGGCAGCAAACACCAGCTCGTGGTGTCTCTCCACTTAGGGCTCTTCTTTGCTTGCTTATTGTCAACATACAGCAGTCCTTGCATTCCTGCCTCCTGGTCCAGCGGCTCCCGAACTGTGCAGGCCCCTGCTTGAAGGGATCCCAGCTGGCTGCGCCAGTCTCTTTTTCAGCAGCTTTCTCACTGCTCCTTTGACTTCTTTGTTCCTGAGACTGTAGATCAGCGGGTACAGCAGGGGAGTGATGTTTGTGTAGATGAGCGCCACCATCTTGTCCCGGCCTGGAGAGTAGTTGGACTTGGGCCGGACATACATGAAGGTGGCACAGCCGTAGTGTAGGGATGTGACAGCCAGGTGTGAGGCGCAGGTAGAGAATGCCTTGCTCCGGCCAGAGGAGCCACGGATCCGCAGCACTGCCCCGGTGATGCAAGCGTAGGAGGCGAGGATGAGGAGGAAGGGCAGCAGCAGCAGGAGCACGCAGGCTGCGAGGAGCGGAAGCTCGCTGCTGTAGCGCCTCGTGCAGGCCAGGTGGAGGAGGGCGGGGATGTCACAGAAGAAGTGGTTGATGCGGTGGGAGCCGCAGAAGGGCAGCTGGAAGACCGCCACCGTCAGCCCCAGGGAGACCGCGAAGCCGCCGAGGCAGCAGAGGAGAGCGAGCCGGAGGCAGACCGCCTGGCTCATCACGGCCGTGTAGCGCAGCGGCCAGCAGATGGCCACGTAGCGGTCGTAGGACATGGCCACCAGCAGGAAGCATTCGGCCCCTCCCAAGGCCACGAAGCAATGCATCTGGGTGGCACAGCCCACGAGGGAAATGGTGCTGGTGCCCATGCTGGCCAGGTCAGCCAGCGCCCTGGGGGCGATGACCAGGGTGTAGCAGCATTCGATGGCAGAGAGCTGGCCGAGGAAGAGGAGCATGGGGGGGCGGGGGGCCTCGGCGGCCACCGCCAAGAGGATGAGGAGGTTTCCTGCCAGGGTGGCCAGGTGGACCGCGAGGAAGCAGCAAAAGAGGAGGGCCCGCAGACCCAGCAGGTCCGAGAAACCAAGCAGCAGGAACTGCATGGTTGCCCCAGGTGAGGTGTGGTTACTCCTCTCCATGCAGCTTCTGCGTCACACCTGCAGCAGCAGACACAGGGAGACAGAGCCCCGCATGAGGGGAGAGGCCAGCAGCTGATGGGCACGTCTGTCACCCAGATTCCTGAGCAAGCGGGCAAACATCGCCTCACACGGGAGACGCGCCCGTGCCCAGTGCCTCTGAATGCGGCCAGCAACAGTCTTCAGACCGCGGCCCCCGATTGTCCCATACCCTCCATGGCTACTACTCAAGCGTTCTTCAAAAGACCGTAAACTATGAGTAGAGAAGGTATGGCAAGTTGGCAGCCCATCCGGGCACAAAGTCCCCGAACGTTTACCTGCTCTTATACAAGGCTGACCAGGGTGTGGTTAAATCAACAGCAACAGCTGCATTTTGGATAGATGTTATCACATTATGTGCTTGCCAGGAAGGCTGCTCCAGATGATCTGTCACTGGTGGTTTCTGTGTCCGTGCAGGACATACGGTGTTAGTGACGGTTTTGCTATCAATTTTTCTGTTGCATTTTGTAAATAGAGAAACAGCCAAGGAATAACACAAAAATGAAAATCGAACAAGGAAACCAGTAATGAACATTTTTCCCAACAGTCTGTTCAAGGGGAAACTGGGAAGCTATTTGTCAGCGGCCAGCAGCAGGAAGCAAGAAGATGTGCAAGACCTGCAAACAGGGAAATTTTAATTATCACCAGAAAGGCGCCAAAATGAATGAAACTTAGTTGAGAGTAAGCAGTCTGGAAAGATCTTGGCACTGCTTGCTTATACAGCAAAATATCACGTGCTATGGGAACCCTCTATTTTAATCCACTTACAGCTAATTACCAAAAAAGTGACATTTCACTTGGTAGAGCTCGTTGTGCACAGTTTCTGGTTGTGCACTGACAGTATTTAGAGGTGCTGCAACAGCTGTGCAAAGTATGGAGGGCAGCCGTGTTGGATTTGTCCCAGATGAAGGAGTGTGGGCAACAGTGGGCACTTGATGCCAAAGGGTCTGTGCAAGGAGTGGCTTACAACTCCTCTCCTTCTAGCTTTCCCTGCCTGCCTTGGTTTTATGCAGCTTTCTCCCTGCATGGCTTATTTAAGGACTGGATCCAGACTGGCTGAGGGACGCAGCTGCTTAAAGCAGCAAAGAGGGGAGGGTGGGCTTTGCCTCCTTTGCTTGCAGATTCTCTTTTGCATAGGAGAGACCTTCACGCTACTTTTCATGCAAATAGAGCGGGCATACAGATGGCAGACCCATCGTGTCTAGTTTGGCCTACAGGAAACAACAGAGAACATCAGAAGTAGCTATACAAGCCCTGAAGCCTCATATAGAAACAACAGAGAAAAACAAGCTGGGCCTTTGTGAGCCTGATCTGAATTCCTTGCCTATATTACTGGAGTCTTAACCTAAGAAGAATAAGACAGGCTGGCACTGGGCATGGGAAAAAGAAACCAAGGGGAACCTGTGCCCGAAGCAAGGCAAGGCAAGGCAGGCAGGAAGGAAGGGGGGAAGGAAAGAACGCAAGAAGAACTTGAGACTGAGGTTTCCTTTTCTGACCAAGACTCTTGTCCACAGCAGTGACTGGCCAAAAATTTATAGGAAATGGATCATCAGGTTCATAAGGCAGAAGCCCTTCTAGTGCTTTTGGTCCACAGAGCCAGATTTACTGCTTTGTAACTTGGAGGTGGCATTTAGCAGTGGTTGGGTTTTTCCTCAATTTGGGGTGGAGCCCTCCATCCTCCAGCTAAGCTCATGTGGGCCGGCTTACTCTGGGACAAAGACGACTTCAGCGGAACGATGTGTTGTTATAAGGAGTACTGCCTTTGGGCCATTCGGGATCTGCACAAGGCAGGGTCTTCGGCTTCATGGTGCAACTGCAAGCATTGATAGTAGGAGGTGCAGTGCTTCCCCATTTGCACCCTCCATGCTGCTCATAATTTTAGAATCACTCCCCCGCTCTGTAAGCTGAAATCTTACACTCACTCACCTGGGAACAAGCCCCTGTGACTGCTCCTGAGTAGACATGCCGTGACTCTCACTCCGTGCTTGTGGGATCTGGTGCACAGCTGCTTGGCCACTGTGTGAACAGAATGCTGGACTAGTTCACAGAAACACTGAATTATAGAATGGTAGAGCTGGGAGGGACCTAGAAGGCCATCAAGTCCAGCCCCCTGCTCAATGCAGGACTTCAGTTAAAGCATGCCTGACATGTGGCTGTCCAGCTGCCTCTTGAAGGCCTCCAGTGTGGGAAAGCCCAGAACCTCCCTGGGCAACTGGTTTCATGGCCGTTCTGCTCTAACAGTCAGGAGGCTTTTCCTTGGAATCTGGCCTCCCGTAGCTTGAGCACATTGTTCCCTATCCTGCATCCAGGCACAATTCAGAGGAGATCCTGGCCCTCCTCGGTGTGGCAGCCTTTCAGGTACTTGTGGAGTGCTGTGATATCCCCCCTCAGTCTTCTCTTCTCAAGGCTAAACATGCTCAACTCTTTTAATCTCTCCTCATGGGGCTTTGTGTCTAGTTCCCCAATCATCCTTGTTGGCCTCCTCTAAAACTTTTCCAGTTTGCTTGCATCTTTCTTAAACTGTGGAGCCCAAATCTGGACACAATACTCAAGATGGGGCCAAACCAGTGCCCAATATAGAGGACTGAGTATCTCATGTGATTTGGAAGCAATGCTCCTGTTAATGCGGATGAGCCTCGGTCCGATGGAGCTGGGCCCTTTTTATGTAAGGGAACACAATGTAAGCCAGTCATCTCTCCCTGCATCACCCCCACCCACATGCAGACAACTAAGAATCCACAAGCAACAACATGCAAGGACAGAAAGTGCTGGAAATATAATGCAGCTTTAACGTACAGCAAAAATACTTGGTCTCCCTCGGAAGACTCTGTGACAGACAGCAGTGTCCAGAGAGAGTTGAATGCAAATCAGGAGAGATGTGAACAAAGAAAAGCCTTGATAAGATTATGCCTAGATAATTAGACAGATGACAGAAGAGAGAAAAATGTAGCTCATGCATATGACATGGTGGAATTAATTTGGTCAGAACATCTGCTATACCCAAGAGACAAGCAGGCATATAGGAATGCTCAAAACAAATTTCAACATTTTCCTAATGGGAGAATGTGCAATTTCTGAGCTCTTTGTCTCTGTAAGGACCAATCAAGAAGCCCGATAATGTACACGTTCCTAAAAATGGCCACAAACATTAGAGTATATATTGCATTAGATTAGAAAAGGGAAGTCAGAAATACCTTATGATTCATTCAGTCTCATTTCCTCTTCTAGAATGGAAATGCCAAAACAAAACAAAACAAAACAGAAAAAGAGACTCAAAGAAGTGCTTCAAATTTTCCACTGGCAGTGGTCAAACTGCAGGTAGTCCATCATTTACCAAAGTTGCAAAAGCTGCTTCAGGATGTGGAACAGAGAATTGTTGGGTCAGATGTGAAAACGGTATGTCTAGCTTACCCCTCAGACGTCCCAGTGAAAGCACCAGTGCAGGCCCCGGCTTTCTTGCAGCTGCTATTTATTTCTGCAGCTTCTGTTAAAGTGAATGTAATTGGAGAGGTCATCGTTGCTGGTGGTCTCCATGCACTGGTGCGACATACCCTCCTTTTCTTTACCTGGGATCTCTCAAGCCTTCCATTTTGCCTGCGGGGAGCCCTCTGCCTCTTAAAATGGGTAGCCAAGATTAAGTCTTAATTATTAGGCAGCTGACAGGAGAGACATGAGTGTATATCATGCATATGCTATGGTAGAATTGATTTGGTCAGAACATCTCCTGCAGCCAAAAATCAAATGGGTCTATATGAACATTAAAAGAAAAATTCAACTGGAAACTGTAATTTTTGAGTCTGCAAGTTCAGTATGAGTAACTGATTCGCTCTTGGTCTACAGTTCTGCTTCTTCATAAGGTCCTAAGAATGGCCAGAAATATTAGAGTGGATGTGATAAAGCATTTAAGCAAGCAAGCAAGCAAGCAAGCAAGCAAGCAAGCAAGCAAGCAAGCAAGCAGACCCTAATTCCATGTAACGAATGAATTGCTTCCCACTTATCCAGTCACACTCCCTGTTGTAGAAGCAAATGTCAAAAAACAACATAAAAAGAGAACTATTGTTGATGTAACTACCTTCTTCTTCTAACCTTCCATTCTGCTTATGAGTCCTGTGCCACCTAAAATGACAGAACACGAATTGGTATGGGCTATTGGCCAGCCTATGCTTTCAAATGCACTTTTCAATCTTCTTAAACTCTTTCCTACGTATATCTGTTTTTCAGAAGCAGTGGGATTGTGTGTGATGATAAGTGGAGCCATTCCTGTTCCCAGGGCAACTCCCACGGATGCCCCCCTCCTTGCAACCAGGCAGCATTTGGCCAGCGTGAAAAGCACTTTTTGGAGAGACAACTGGAAGCAGAGAAGCTGTGGAGAGAGGGGATGCCGGACACCTTGCTCACTGGCTGGTCTTGCCACTCCCTAGCTTTGCTTTTGAAGAACTGTGTTTGGAATTTTGTTGCCGACAGGGGAGGTGTGGGAAATGGACTGGTGGGGTTAAATGGTTTATTTGTTTATTTACTGTTTGTTTGTTTATTATTTATTTACTATTTATCTAGTTTTATTTACAACACTAGGCTGAGCATTCTCTGGGTGTCCCACAAACTACCCTTTCTGACAGTTCTCCGCTTCCAGTGGCTGCCTCCCAAAGTTGCTCTTCATTTAATAAGAACACACAATTTGGACATTTCTCTATAAGCAACATGTCACTCGGCTCAACGACTACCTGTCCTCCATGCAAAACATAAAGTCTGTTATAAAAACAGCTCAGTTCTAGGAAGCAGCATTTTGCAGCTCAAAAATGGTGTGGGCATGTGGTCCTAGCCCTTTCCCCTCTGATTCCTTTTCTGCCACAACTCCCTCCAACGGTGTTGCAGGTGCATCTTCTGCAACCTTACCTTAGTCATATTTTGTATGGAAGAAAACAGGGCATTCCTCCTCTTGGAAATTCTTTTCATTTAATTTGCAG